TTTTGACAATGAGGAAAGATGGAAAAGACATAGAGATGGTGTTTGATTTCAGTGAGAAAAGGAAAGAAAGGAAGGAGGAGAAAGAATGAAAGAAAGGAAGAAGCAAAGAAAAAATGAAGGAAGGAAAAAAAAAAAAAGCTAGACAGAAGGAAAGAAAGAAATCTTCTGCTGATACCTCATAAATAATGAACTGTTCTGCTTTGATCATGAGGAAAGATAGAAAAGACAAATTAGAGACACTGTTTGATTACAGTGAGAAAATGAATGAAAACAAAACAGAAAATTTTGTGGGTACAACTGGTGAATGTAAAGAGGGAATTTTTTTTTCCCATATTATTTTGAAAATCAAACTTTTCTCATAAAATTCTCATCAAAGGACTTTTAATGAAAGGCAGAATCCTTCCTGTATGGAAACAGTTGTTCTCACCATTGCCATTTGACAACCGCAAGATGTGACAATTCCTTTTTAATACATTTATCATGATGACAAATCATCATGTTACTGTCTTTTAAAGGTTGATTGATTTTTTTCATAATATAACATACAAAATTCCATTCATGAGTTTTTCTAAATACTTATAAGACTTGAGCTGCAATATTTGAAATTCTTTCTAAAGCACTCAGTGTTTAAATGCTCAATCCCTGTATTAAAATGTGCAGCCGTCATATTAACTTCTCAGTTTATTAATTTGTAAAATTTTTTAGCCAAAACACACTCTCTCTATATATATATATAACACACACAGAAACTATACACAACCCTAATTTTGACACACTATTAGGCCAAAATCCAATTTCTTACAGAAATACAGCACATGAATGACCCCTCCTCTACCAAAAAAACATGACCATTCCACAGAAGAGTGAATCCCACTTCTTTGTTTAATTCTCATCTTCTTGAAAAAAAGACACAGACGTGTCCAAAAAATTTGATTTTAAATTCTTTCTTTTTGTGCTTCAATTTAGTAAAAAGACCTACCAAGATATAATAAATATCATATCTATATCTATGTGTGCGTGTTGCTGCATCCAACTTCTTCCACAATCTCCAACAGAAAAAGATATTGAAAAATACTTCAACCACTTTAAAAGATCAATTGGGTAAAGGAGCAATAAAAATCATGCTAGTAGATTGGTCTGTCTTTATTTTTCATTTCCCTCTCCTCCCTCTCCAGGTCATTTGCTTTCCCAAATTTTGTTGACATGCTAAGAACAAACAGAGAGGCAGTGGATGGCTGGACAAGGAAGTAATAAAAAGTTTTCACTTCCTAAAAGCTAACCAAATGACCAAACATCAGGATTCTTTCATTCTTTCTTGGTCATGCTGAAAAATTTTCAGCACCTCCTCATAAGTATCCAGCAGTTTTCATAGAGTGTATAAATATTACATTCATTTGAGTGTTGGAAAATGATACTGTTGTAGAGTAAAGAGTACACCCCTGGTGACACTATGAACTCATCCAATACTATAAAGAGTTCCCTGTTATGAGGTCGTCAGTAGTCTTATTGGAGTCAGTCTTCATACCAACTATACAGACATTACTACAGCAATGGCCTAAGCATTATGTATAGAGAATACTTAACAAATTATGTTATACCAAGTACAAGTGTGTGTTATGACAATAACCTTACAACTGAAAGTTATGATAGATACGTAAATTATTATCAAAATATATTTTTCTTCCTCTATCATAGCTATAATCAAAAATAATTTATCTCAGCTTAAGATAAAATGTGTTATAACTACATCTAAAACAATAAGAGAATTAATACAAAACAAAATGTTAAGCTAAAACTTGAAGTCGGAATTTACTCTATCACCTGTAATGATAGCCACACAGAATACATAGGTGAGACATTAAGGAATTTAAATAAAAGATAAAATGAACACAAAACAACACACTCAGTGCATTCATTTCTTTCCATAATGAGTCTGACCATAATTTTAATTAAAAAAATTTCTACTTTAATTCAAAGAGAAAGCAATTTACTCAGATGAAAATATATAGAAAGTGCTTTAATTGCTAAATCATCCAAAGTAAATTTACATTTATGTTCTTTTAACATTTCACCTTCTTTGGCAGATCTTCTTTCATTACAATGTGGGATATTTAATAACAGAAGTCAGAAAAATAAAGAAAAAGAAACTTAATGAAATTGCCTAGACTATATACCCAAAACATATATGTAAAAAAAAAAAAAAATCAATTTTAATTTATAATTATCAGAGTCCCCTCTCCTTTATGTGCATATCTAGTTGTATCAACATAAATATCGCTTTGGTCTTATGAAGTCCTAAAGAATAAAACCTGTCACACAAATACCTTTCTCTCTTTGTCATAGTTTTCCCTAAAATTGATCCAAAGTAATACTTGGATCCTAGGCAGAGTTCTCATATCCTCCAATGTAAATAACTGCACTGATATTGACATATATGATGCTAGTGTTAATGTATCATGAAATTAATGGCATTTCAAGTTTGACCACATTCTGTATTGAAATGAAGGAAGATTACAAATAATTTGATAAAACTATACATTTTTGACTTCTTCCTTAAATATCTTAGTGACGTGCCATCATTGCTGATGGGACACTGAACTATCACCAAAGAGGCCATGTGCCTTGAGCACCTGTTGGGGCTCAGAAGCTCAACCCAGACCTCAAATGAAACTTGTACATATGATCCATTGCTAAAGATGCTGGAAAAATGGTCAGTTCCTTGTACCACTCCAGTAAGTACCTGACACTTCCTACCACCCTCTGCATTTACTAAAGCCAGATCAATCCAAAAACGAAATACTGTTGCCATATGTGGTCAATAGCTTCCCAGTCTTCACTTTCCAGTCTAAATAGAGTTCAAAAGTGTCTCTGTGTCCTTGTGGGTGACAAATTATTTTTCTGACCCCCACAAGCTCTTTCTCAAAGATGACATACTGCAATCCTGTCGCTGCTCTATTTATATTTCCAGGGAATGTGTTCAGACAAACTCCGTTCCTTAATTCCACCAGTTCTAACCTTCATGGATAAGACCCGCCATGCTATGTACATTGTAGTGAACCATCCTCATTCCCTTTGTATTCCATTGGTAAGAGCTTCTTCCTATGGACCCCTGCTTTATGGAACCGACTCCCAAGAAGATGCTTCCCCGATCACTACAATCTTAACTGGCTTTAAATTTTTGTCTAGGGCTGTCTATCTTCACCACATATCCACATAAACTGCACTTCTCAATCTGCAATGCTCTACCTTGAGTGGTCCCCGGGCCTTGTACAAGGTGATCATCATTGTAAAAAAAAAAAAAAAATGGAAAGGTAACAACTGTGATATTAGAAATTCCTTAGTGGAACTTCAAGGCACATACTATCATGTGATTGCTTCCATCTGAACCTGCTCACAGATTGGAAAATATTTATTCTTTAAAAATATATTCACAAACTTTAAAAGAGTGCTATACAACTGCTATATAATATCAATCCTTCTATATGATAGGCAATGTTGGGCAATTTCCTTGAAGATGAAGAGAAGCCTTGAAAAAACAGAGATGGGGTTTTCCAGAAGGATGCTGAGAATACAATAGATGGAACATGTAAGCAAAAAGGAAATTTTAAAGAAAATTAGGACAAAAAAGACACTTAATCAGAAAGATTTAATATTTCTGGAACATATAATCAGGAAAGATGGCACAGAGAATTTAACACACACAGGACATACAGAAGGCACAAGGTGCTGAGAGAAAGAGTGAGTAACATATTTAATGAACTTATGTAAATGAATGGCAGAGCAGAGAGAGGACAAACATTGCAACAAAGGAAAAGAAATTGTGGGAAGCCATGTTTACCTATGCCCTGAAGGGACCCAACATTACGAGAAGGAGATTCAGTTAGCCAGATTTGACACTCAGTAGATTAAGAGAGTACCTGGATAGCATTTTTCTAGCTGAAATCTTTATTGGCCTGGTGATATTTAATTGTAAATTTAAATGAATCAGCAGAAAAACGAGGTTCAGTGCATCCTAATCAGTATTTTAAGGAAAATGCACAATTTAAAAATCAACTTAAAAATAAAATTTAAATCTGCTGCTATTTTTATTCATTCTTTTTGCAAGTAGAAATTTTTTTTTAAATTTTCAATTTAATTGTCAAGAATTTTCATATTAAACTTTAAAAGTGCAAAATAATTATTTACCATTAATTTCTTCTTGGTAATGTCTTTATTATTGTTTTATCTTTTATTATAAGCATTATTTTTTATTAATTTAATTTCTTTAATTTTATACTCTAATCTTCATTTTTTTAATTCTATTGTCATTGCTATTATTAATAAGAGTAAAAGGATTATCATTATGAAAAAAATGTCTAACAGCGTTAATGACGCTACTAATCAAGATTAATCAGTTTCAAAAATTTTTTGTTCATAATTAGAAAAAAGAAAAAAATTTGATGACATCAAATGACCAGTGGGAAATGATCATTATCAAAATCCTAAATAAAATTGCTTTAAAATTTGATTTTTAAAAAATGCCTAATTTTACAAGAAGAAAGGGGGGGGGAAGCTCAAACCTTACTTAATGATAAAACAGAACGAAATAAAGTTATAACACTGAGTAAAAATGAAGTTGAAAAAAAAAAATTCAAGAATATATTTTTTGAAGGAACATAATGAAGTTTGCAGCCTAAAGATGAAATTAACATTTGATAAAAAAAAGAAAACATTTTCTGATCTAATTCAGTGGTGAATTTTGCTTACGTAGTTGAATCATTACGCAGTAAAAATTTTAGATCAAAATTCAGCTAACATGTCAGGCTATGAATTTACCAATCTCATTTTCTTGCTTTGATAGTTGTCACATGATCATATAGATACTTATAATTTTGTCATAAAGGGGCACTTTGGCATGGTGTAATAGTTAGCGAGCTTGTCTTGCTAGATCAATTATGACTGAGTAGTGAGATCAATCCTTACTTTGTGTTCCATATGTTTGGCTACTCTTAGCAAATTACTATAATTTTGTCACATGGAGGTAAAAATAGACAATAGTTAAAAGGAGATGGAAATAATAAAAAAAAGGAAGAAAAAGAAGAAGAGAAAAAGAGGTAAAAGAACAAGAAGAAGAGAAAAAGAGGTAAAAGAACAAGAAAAAGAGGTAAAAGAACAAGAAGAAGAGAAAAAGAGGGAAAGGTAAAAAAAAGAATTAAGAGAGAAAAAGAAGAAAAGACATATAAGAGGAAAAAAGGGAAGAAAAAGGAAAAGTAGGAAAAAATGAAGAAAAAAGAGAGCAAAAAAGAAGTAAAAAAAAAATAGAGGAAGAAAAAGAGGAGGAAAAAAGAGGGAAATGGATAATTTCCAAAGATTATCTCTTTTTCTATTAAATTTACAAAATTCTAATCTTTATTTTCCAATTTACCTGCAAGGACATGAAATGGCATTATTGTTTCTTTTACAGACATTGCAATGGGTAAATTATGGTCAGATGTATCTGCTGATGTTTACTTTGGGCTAATGATCTTGAGAAAGGTACCAATTCATAATCTTGCTTTTTGTTCCAATGTTAGACATCTTAATCAAAGATATTTGTCGCTAGGATACCACAATGGCTAACAGAGAATAAAGTGGGTACTTAAGCAAACCATATTCCTTACTATCCAGACAGTAATGACAATACAAAGCTGTTGTCAACACTGTCAACTTTGGCAAGAATCTAGTTTCCTATGTTACCTTCAAGTTTATTTTCAAATGAATTAAATAGGAAAGTTTGAAGATACAAGCAATACTTTAAGAAACATACAGAAATCTAATACAAAATTACAGAAAGTACCATATTCAAAATTATTAGTTTAATTAAAGTACCATATATTTCTCTGTATAAGGTGATCTATAGATAAAACGAAACCCAAAATCTAGGTAAATTTTTATGATTTTTTATGATATCCATAGAATAAGATGACCAACTGGAACTCATATGACAAAACTGTAAATGACAATGATTATGATTAGCTCTTTGCATCAGATGACATTGATTGAAGAAATTTTTAAGGGTTTTTATTATGTATTTGGGTGACATGTTTTATTCTGTAATGAGAAATTAAGATTTTATGGCATCTTAAATTATTTGTTACTTAACACTACAAAAAATATTGTATAATGTATGTTATTCAAAAATAAAGTTTGCATGTTATACTAAATGTTGTGACTAAATAACACAATGACAATGAATCGTAATTAGAAATATATATTTTGCATCTTATCCTAAATGTTATTTAACCCTACATTGAGAAGTCATGTTTGATTTCAATGCACTCATAGCTCTTCAAATAGAAAAAAAAGAAAAATGAAAGATTTGTTTAATTTACTTGTTACTTGTATTTGTTGCACAGCACAGTGGAGCTTTTGCGAATTGTTGTCATCCCTTGCATCTGGTCACCTGATATATTTGCCAAATTTAATTTTGGTACAGTGTAACCCGGATATAAGAGAGTTGTCGGGACCGGAGAAGAAGTCTCTTATATCCGGGTTTCTCTTATATCCGGGTTTGGTCTAGTTTATATACAATAACACAGGCTCTAATTTGGGACCGGAGAAAATCTCTTATATCCGGGTTACACTGTATATATATTTGTTAAAATGAAATGCCAGCATTATCATTATTTTTGCATAATTTAGATGACTTGTATATAAATATAATAAATACTTAATCTGTTGAATATTGCATTTTAATGTGAAATCAAAAAGTAAAAATAGTTTGATTCCGTTTATAAATGTAGTACATGTTTTATAATGTGAACTGTTTCAACAAGAAATATTTACATTGGTAGTTACCATGCAGAAGAAGTTGTTAGCTTACCATGATCCACGGCACAAGGATACTAGCCTACTTACCAGTGCCAATACACCACAAAATTTAAGGTTAGCTTTTTGTAATCATTGTATTAGACAACCCCCTTATAGAGCTATGGTAATTTTTAAGATTTAAAGCTTGCCTTATATGTGGAAATATATGGTACTTAATTTAAGCTCATAAGTTTCAATGTTTATCACAGATTAATGTAATAATTTGTCTGATACTAATCTCAAATCAAGTAACTAATTTGAGATTAGAAATTTTTAAAAAATCTGAGGATACGTGTTATTTATTGAACAAATTTTAAAATATTTATTATGATACTCCACGTAGAGATTTCAGCATTAATGCAATCAGTATTAGTTCTGCAATTCAAAACTAACGCCACTTCCTTATGTAGTGAGCTTATATTTAACGTCTACTCCTACACATATGCTAATTAGTGGTAGCACTAACCTACAACTGCATCTCCTTGAAGGGAATAGGCTTTATGCCCTTTGTTGATCGCATGCTTCTTCATCTATATTTACTTTCAATTTTGAGTTTCTTCTCTCCCTCTTTGTAGAGAGCTGTTTGTATATTTCTCTATGGGAGATGTGTCTCATTTATTGGTGATGTCCTGTAATATGAGCTGTGTTCATTTACTGATATCAAGTAATGCCTCGTTACCTTAAGAATTGAATATCTAATTAGTAAAAAAAAAAAAAAAAAAAGCAGAGATTGCATGATAATTATATATATCAAGTCACATTGTGTTTTATATTTTCTTGAGATTCTTGACAAAATCCAAAGGGTCTGAAATGTAATTGATCCTTACCTGGCATCTCGATTTCAGTCACTTTCTCACTGTTGTGGCATGATTTTCTATGAATATTTTCATGGAAATTGTTCTGATGAGCTTTCCTCCTTTTGGGCCTTGGACTTTATGAATCTAGATTAGCAACTAAGTCTCACTGTCTTACTGTTCAACTAGCTAGATGCAACCTATTCTAATAGTGTCTCTTCTTGCAATTTTCTTCTTCTTCTACAAATATGATGAGCATTTTTCCTAAGTACTCTGACTGCATCAATTTAAGCATACTGCTAGGATAGGCAACTAGGTCTCTCAGTTTTAGAGTTGAACTAGCTAGATTCAATTGTCTCTTCTCTTTTCTTGCACTTTTCACCTGTGGAACTACCTTCCAAATTCTTGCTTCTCTGCCACTTCAAAAAATATTACTGCAACATCAATCACCATCTTCTTGAAACCAGTTTTCTTATTGACCTTTCTCATCACTGAAGTCTTTTCATTCTCTTTTGCTTCCAGTAATCCCTTGCATGTTAGTGATATTATCACATTGCATGGAATGAAAGGATTAAGAAAAAGAATTATACACTATAAACTGTTTCTCAACCTTTTTAAGCAGAAGCACACCTCGGAGCAAATAAAACAAAAAAATTCATCCATTGTGAAGGGGTGTATAAAAACCAGTTGAAGTTCATTCATTGTAGTCTACTAAAGGGAACATTGTCATGGCATATTTTTACAAAAGCTTACTACATTCTGTTTCCCTCTTTTCTTGAATATATCCTGTGAGTATCAAATTTTCCAAGCATTCTTTCCTCATTATGCGCCCTAGAAATTGCAACTGTCTATTTCTAAGTATAAACATCTTTTTTGTTTCCATTTTTTCTAAACCTTTCTTACTCAGATGTTTAGTTTATTACAGGCTGCTATATGCATTGAGAGATAAACACATGTGTCTCCTGAAATACCCAGAGCAAACATGGCAGACTCAGGATGTGAGTCCATGTAAAGAAATGAATGGAACCAATATATATGTACAAACAAATGATAATGTATGTATTAACAAAACAAGGGTATACATAAACAATAGAATATGGCTGCGTGTTACTGGACAATGAACACGAATGAAGAAAACATTTAAACTAGTGAATTTTTTGTGTGTGTGTAAGAAAGTCCTAGAGAAAATGAAATGAAAGCTGCATATGCGCATGTGTGTGCTTTCCCTAGTGGGAAAGCATTTTCCTCGTTTGACTTACATCTTGCTGTCCCTGAGTGAAAAAGGAAAAAAGAGGATATCACTGCCTATTTATAGTCCTGAGAGCATCTTCTAGTAGCAGTTTCAAAAATTAGGGGAAAGTAATCTGACACACTTGCTAAAGATATGAAAACAACCAAACATTTTCCCGAATCTTTCATGTTTTTACTAGGCATCCATTAAATAGACATTACCACTTATTAATATACGCACTTTTATCATGTTTCAATAATGTCAGATCTTAGGAACATTTGTTGCAGGTTGGTATATGCATTCAGAGATAAACATGTGCGTCTCCTGAAATGACCACAACAAACATGGCTGACTCAGGATGTGAATCCACATAAACAAATATAAAGAAATGACAAGAACTGATACATACATACAAACAAATGATAATGTATACATAAGAAACAGAATATTGCTGCGTGTTACTGGACAATGAACATGAATGAAGAAAACATTTAAACTCGTGAATTGTTTGTGTGTGTGTGTAGTTTGGTGTAGGGGAGAGTCCTAGAGTCCTTTGTTAAAACATCAACTTCATAGTCTGTCAATATTTCTGAGATGAGGTATTATGTGGAACTAGAACAGTCTACCCCAGTGAGCGAAATAAAGGGTTTAGTTCGACATCCCAACCACCTGAAGAAGGCCGGAGCATACAACGGCCGAAATGTTGTGGTAAATATGGTGACAAAGATGAGGACAATAGTCCGAATAATGTAAATAATGTAACTTCATAGTATTTGAATGTCATCAATGAAGCAGTTTTCTTATTATTCATATTTGGCTTTGATTTCTTTCATCATATTCCTGTCACTTTTTATTTCATTTTTCCGGTGGTTATTTTACAACTGATAAGTAGACTGTACAAATTCAAAACAATGATGCAGTCACAAACAAGATTTGAACTCACATCCTTTATTCTGAGGAACCTATCTTCTTGTGACAGAGACTTACAGATTAAGCTACAAAAGATTCAATAGCGGACATATTTCCTCTTTTCTTCTCTGATCTCCACCAATGCCATAATAATGTTCTTGTCTTATTTACATGAAGAGAAATGACTTGCGAGTTGCAATAAAAAGCAACAAAAATGAGATAAAAGATGAGACAAAAATGAATAATACTGACTCTAGTTGTTACTTCTAGCAATATAAAAATCTTCATTTAAAAAAAAAAAAAAAAAAAGGTTTGGTGGTTACTATCTAATCTTGATCCAATTCCCTCCCCTACAACCACCTCCATCAATCAAACCCGTTTATCAAGGTACTGATTGACAAATTCACCTCCCAGATCAATACCATTCAAAAATCAATAAGCCACTTACGAAAAGCCATTTTCACAAAGAAAATATTCTTTGAAAATAATTTTAAGAAAAAATTTATATAAACCAAAACAATCTTTGGAAATTAGCATTTTCTTTTTTTGAATTTTCATATGCAGTTTTATTTTTGCTGTTTTAAATTCTTTTCTAATTTATTTTCAGTACTTGCCAAACTTAATGTTTTTCTATTTCTTTTTGTTACTTTTCTTATTAGATGCATTTTTTTTTAATATTTTAGAG